TGCCGCCACAGCACTCTCTCCCTTCCAATGTGCCTATGGGTATCAGCCCCCCATCTTTCTTTCCTTGGAGAGGGAGGTCACCTGCCCATCTGTTCAGTCATTTGTTCGGCAGTGTAGGAGAGCCTGGTCCCGATCCCGGGTTGCCAGAGGACGATACACCCACTACGCAAACCGCCGCCACTCTACGGCACCCTCCTACACCGTGGGTCAGAGGGTGTGGCTCTCCACCAAGAATCAGCCCCTTCAGTCAGACTCCAAGATTAGATTTGTGGGTCCATTCCCTATTGAAAGAACAATCAATCCAGCTGCCGTCCGATTAAAACTACCTTGTAGTATGAGAGTCCATCCCATCAACAGTAAAGTCGGTGGCCCCCCCTCCGGTGGCTCATGAGGTGGCAGCGGTTACTCCTCCATTGGTTCGGGAGGCGTCGACGACGGGGGATTGACATACACAGTCCAATGCATCATCCGCTCCCGCCGAAGAGGAAGGGGTCTTCACTATCTAGTGGATTGGGAGGGATACGGTCCAGAGGAGAGGTCGTGGATTCCAGCCCGCCACATCTTGGACAAATCTCTAATCCGGGAGTTCCAACAACTCCATCCAGACCAACCATCAAGTTCCCAACCAGTGCGGTCGAGGAGTCAATCACAACCCTCTCAGTCTCATCATGGGTCAAGCAGGGCCAGGTCTGGATCTCCTGCCCCTGGGAGGCAGGGAAGGAGTGTGGTCGAGTCCGATGACAATCTCTCTGAGGAATACTAAGCTGATAATTTCCTTCCTCGCTGCTTTGGGACGTCAAGAGCTGTCCTTAAGAGGGGGGTTCTGTCATACCTGCTGCAGCGCTGCACTCAAGCAATTGGCTCCACCTGCACTCACAGGCTGTCGCTGATGAGTGAGCAGTGTATTTAAGCTGCAGCCACACACTCCCCACTGCCAGATTGCCTTGTCCGTTTACCGAGGCTACACGTTCTCGTTCCTTTTCCAGTTCCAGTAGTGGAGATTCCCTGTAGTCCTACAGTTACCTGTCGTGACGATCCACGGCCAGTCTCATCGGCGCTGTGGACGAGATTCCTCTCGCCGTCTTTTGAGGAGAGTTCCTGACTTGGCTCAGCCGTTCCGTTCATGACTTGGCTCCGCTGTCCAGAGGGAATCCGCCGCCGTGGCGGCACTCCCGCCCGATTCCCTAGCAAGTAAGAGTAGCTGCGGCAGCCATTGGATCTCTAAGTGGAGATTGCGTTTTTTCAAAAGACGTTTTGCTCCAAGCGGAGACTTCCTTTGTTTAAAGACTCTTTCATTATCAAGACGCCTGTTTTTACTTCACGTTTATTTGAGAGACTTTTTTTTACTTCAAGTGGAGATTCCTTGGTTGAAAGACTCCTTCAGTTTAATATTAATAATTATTTGCACACATTGATACTGACTGATCCTGCAATAAACTTTTGGAAAGAGCTTCTGCCTTAGTGTGTTGCATTTGGGTCCAAAAGTCCGACATTCCTGACAAACACTTTATCTAAAAAAAACATATTCATAGGTTAACATAATTGACTCATCCAAGGTAAAAAAAACACACGTATACCTCAAATATGAAGTATTCAATTATGGTAAGGCAGTGTAGAAAATTATATGAAAATCATCATATGTAGCAGGAAGCTAAATTCAGGCACTAAAACAAGACACACAGTTCATCGTGACTTATACAAACTTACTATAAAGATCGGACTCGTCCAGAATCTCAGATTTAATGATCTCCTCAATGACGTCCTCAAGAGTGACCAAGCCCAGGACTTCATAGAACGGATCGCCCTCTCCTTCATTGTTCACCTTCTGCACAATGGCCAGATGGGATTTTCCTGTTAAAGACAGAGACCAAGACTGGTTATACCGTCAGCCGAGTCTATTCATTACCTCACCACAAAAACATGGGAGCCATGGTTGCTCATCTGGATGTTGTGGTGCAGATGATGGTACTTGCTATAATTAGCGGAGGAAGAGAGTTTATACACTATGGTGTGAAACTATTTCTTTTAATTCTCTGCTGATCCTAGGAATATGTTTAATAATATTTAAAAAATGTTTTTACACTAATAGTGCACTTTCAGTGATATCTTTGACATACTTAGGGTATATTTGGTCACTTTATGGCATAGTTATGCACAACAATGACAATAAAAGTATCATATATCAATCTTTGGTTTCTTTTTTTTTTAATTTTATGTGATACATCAGTCCGACGATTAAATAAATTTAAATTAAAAAATGTAAGTAATTTTAATTATATTAGCTCTGCTGTGTGATGGATTTAACATGGAAATGTATTTGTTAACACACCGCTACGTTCCTCCATGTTACAGGTGCACTAGTTTTCTGCTCCAGTTCATGTGAGAGATGCAACAGCACCACCAAATCACTCAATAACAATGACAAGTAATGACATGAGTTTTGCGCCAGTACTGATCAACATCCCACCCCTTACTGTGACCAATGTATTTTCTGTATGTGTATTCAGAGCCAGTGAGCAACAGACAAGTATAACGCGTTAATTGCGATTAATTAATTACAGACACATTGTTAGGTTTATTCTAACATATGTGACGACAAAGTAACAACACAAAAGATGTCTGGATCTTTTACTTGCAAGGGGAGAGTGCAGCTTGCTCTGCTGGCAGCTTCCTCATCAACTCCGAGTTGCTGCACCCTTCCTCTGCTCTTTTATTTAGTTTACAAACGTATCAGATTACATATCATGTGATCGTGTGTGAGTATATGAATGGGTATGGAGTAAGAAGGTGGGTGTGAATGTGGGTGTGGCTGTGTCTGGTAATTTCTCCATCAGTCTTGAGCACACTAGATTATAATATGAGAAGCAAACAGTT